TTCATCGGGCCTAGAACATGATTTCATATAAGCCAGGCACAAGTAGTGAGAAATATTATATTATATGATATATTTCAATTCCGAAAGAAAATTAGATGCATAAGAGCTTTGAGAAGCTGAATCGTATCTGTTGCGCTTCGTCCATGTTGAGTAGACTACTCTCATAGCATGTATATTAGGGTGGTCCTTAATATGGACATTTTTCGAATTTCTTTGCTCCCAAGGACTCAAATGGTTCCAAATTGATAAAAAACAAATTCTCTGAAAGTTTAGCTCTTAATATTAACGTTTAGATAGAGCGCAATTCAATCAAAGTTTTGTATGGAAATAGCATGGAAAAAATTTCTAAAATTTTAGAAATGTTTTTAAATGTAATTTAGCAAACAAATGAATGAACAAAACTCATTCATTTGTCGCTAAGTTATACCTAAAACACTTTTTTTTTAATTTTCAAAAAATTTTCCATGCTCTTTCCACACAAACTTGATTGGATTGCGCTCTATTTAAACGTTAATATTAAGAGCTAAAACCTTCAGAGAATTGTTTTTTTATCTATTGGAACCATTTGAGCTCCTGGGAGCAAGGAAATTTGAAAAAATATATACATATATACATATATATCTGTTGTACTGAACTTCGAACAAGGAAGATGGAACGGGCATAGTTCCAAAAACGTCGACAACAATTTTTTTAAAATTTTTACTACGTATTGGATTTCTTATTTGAAACTCACTTTTTATATATGCCATATATATCTTATATATATATATATATATATATATATATATATGTATTAGGGTGGTCCTTAAAATGGTCATTTTCGAATTTTCTTGCTCCCAGGGGCTCTAATGGTTCCAAATTGATAAAAAACAATTCTCTAAAAGTTTCAGCTCTTAATATTAACGTTTATATAGAGCGCAATTCAATCAAAGTTTGTATGGAAAGAGCATGGAAAATATTTTGAAAATTAAAAAAAAATGTTTTAGGCATAACTTAGCGACAAATGAATGAGTTTTATTATTCATTTGTTTGCTAAATTACATTTAAAAACATTTTTAAAATTTTTGAAAAATTTTCCATGCTAGTTCTATACAAAACTTTGATTGAATTGCGCTCTATCTAAACGTTAATATTAAGAGCTAAAATTTTCAGAGAATTGTTTTTTATCTATTTGAAATCATTTGAGCCCCTGGGAGCAAGGAAATTCGAAAATGACTATTTTAAGGACCACCCTAATATATATATAATATATATATATATATATATATATATACGAGGTCTGTTCAAAAGTACCCGGAATTACTAATAATTAAATTTCGCGGGTCTGGAGTGTCTGATTGTCAAAATTTTTTTTTATTGTGTTGGTATACATGCCCCTGAAGTATGATGAAATTTTCAGCTATATTCACTGTTTACTTTGTCTGTGGTAGTCGCTAAAGGTTCGACGTGTTTTCTGAGCTCGGCGATTTTTTACAATGGAAGAATTGAAAAGTCAAAGAATTTGTATAAATTTTGCGTAAAAAAATGAAATAAAGTGTTGCAAAGTGCAAAAATTCACCAGATATGGCTCCGTGTGACTTTTTCCTATTCCCAAAGTTGAAGAGACCCATGAAAGGACGGCGGTTTTCCTCGATTGAAGAAAATCGCTGAGAGTGCTCAAGGACATATCAAAAGTGAATATCAAGGGTGCTTCGAAAATTGGAAAAAAAAACGCTGGCATAAGTGTATTATATCTGGGGGGGACTACTTTGAAGGGGACCACATTAATGTAGACGAATAAATAAATATTTTTTGAAAAAACGAAAATTACGAAAACTTTTGAACAGACCATGTATATATATATATATATATATTATATATATTGATTGTTTCTTTTCCGAACAGTAAATCCAATAATAAAAAAAACATTTGTTTTTTGAAGATGTTTAATAACGACGTTTTGGAACTAGGTACGTTCCATCATCAGGTTTATTCTGTAATAACTTATATATCCATATCACTAATATTTTTTTTTGTTAAAAACACTCGATTTCGTGTTTAAGTCTTGTGTAGTTGTAACATCTACAAATATCCTCAAAAAATCGAGTGTTTTTAACAAAAAAATATTTTAGTGATATGGATATATAAATTATTACAGAATAAACCTGATGATGGAAACGTAACCTAGTTCCGAAACGTCGTTATTAAACTTCTTCAAAAAAACAAATTGTTTTTTATTATTGGATTTACTGTTCGGAAAAGAAACAATCAATATATTGAAAAAATCCAGGACTTATCTATTGAATATATATACACCTAAGTCTGTTTTTACACGGTAGATTGGTTCCAGAAGAAGCCGTGTAAAAAAAAAACGTGTAAAAAAAGACATTGATCTTATACAAAAATGGGTGATTTGTTCCTAATCTCTAAAACCTATTAAAATGAGTGAAAAACAAGAATTTTTAAGAACAAGAATTCATGTTTATTTTATTCAATCAAATATATAATTCTGATACTATCAATGGTTCCGACTTTTTTCTTTCATAAATACGTTTTTGTGATATGAACATACTTCGCAAAAATTAAATTTGACAAATAAAATTTAAGTACATAAAATTTCAAATCGTGCTAAATGGAATAAAATCGTGTAAAAAAATTAAAAATATTCAATTTTCAAGCCGTGTTATATCAAAACCGTGTACAAAAAGACCGTGTAAAAACAGACTTAGGTGTATATATATATATATATATATATATATATATATATATATACATTGGTTTTGACAGCAAATGTGTGTCATCGTAGAGTTATTTTCTAAAAAAACTTTTATTTTATAAAAATAATTCCTTTCCATTTTAACGATTTTTTCTGCTGATGTCACACTTCTTGAGTTGAAACTTGTATATAAATATATATATATATATATATATATATATATAATATATATAATAGGGGGGCGTACAGATGTTTCCAAAATTACTATTTTCCAAAATAAATCGACAATGTTGAAGTGATCTAAATGAATAAATAATTATTATTTAAGTATTTTTTTACATTGTATTGTTTATTAATATATTACTTATTAATTAAAATATAATGTCAGTTAAATATATAAATAAATAATCATACTGTTAAAAAAATTAAGGGGTACGCAAAGTTTTATGCAGTAAAAAAGGTTAGAAAACTCTGGATTAAGCATTCAACTTTACAGTCATAAAGTATCTTTTTAAAGCTGATATGCAGTAAAAATATCCAGCTGAATTGAAAATATTCACCTAAAATATACTTATATAATAGATATAAGTAGTTGCGCAAAATGTCTCCTAATTCCTGTGGGAATTCAATTTAGCGGAACACGAAAAGTCTGATTGCTAAAGCCCAAAGCGGATTTATATTTCTGGCAGTTTCAATTATGAAGCCGCGTCACATTGTAGTGAATTTTTAAGTTATATTATACTTTTGGTTAATATTTTCAAGTAAAAAGGTTATCTGTACTGCATATCATGTCGTTTGAAGATAGAGATGAAATCGACCTGACAAGGTATAATAAATTAGATATAATATAGGACACGATGACTTAATTGGTGATTCTAGACAATAAGATTTTTACACAATTAAAATACGAGTTTCACTAAA